GGCAAAGCGGGCGGTGGAGGGCTTCTTGGCGGCGACGGCGCCCAGCGCAGACGCCTTCAACGCCACGGCGGTGCATCGAGGCGAGGCAAGTGCCCCCATGCTGTTTGAGAGCGACCCTGCATGTTGGGCACCGCAGATAGAACTCGTGGTTCCTTCGGAGCATCCAGGTCACTTTGAGCGGTGCTTTTGGTTTTACGAACGCCTATGGATGGCCGCGAGCTCTTCTGCAGACCAGCGCTTGGTGCGGTCGCCGCCTTCGGAATATCGGCATCTCGCTGCTGGCGGAATGGTGGGGCGTGTGTGGGCGATTCGAGAGGCGTCCAAGGCCTACGCGAAACTTTTGGCGAAGAGTGATAAGTGGTGGTGCGACCAGAGCATCTGGGCGCTGTTGTTTGTGTGGGGCGTGACTCAGGACCCGACTGTGGATGCCGCCCTTCGCACGCGGTACGGCCTTCTGAGCCTTGACTACAACAACTCTTTCTTTCTCACGCCGCGTAAAGGGCTTTTTGGGTCTCCGGCGATCATTCATTTTCCCGCACCCATTAGTTGGTGGCGCAACGAATTGCCTGGACTGCTGAACTACACACAATGGTTTCATCCGCTACAAAGTTCTCCCACCTTTGCTCAGGAGACGAGGGAGTTACTGCAGAACACATCTGTGAAAGTGTACGGAGCTAATCGGCGGGCAAACATAACCCGCTTCCCTGACCTCTGCTCGTTGAAGGACGTTCTCGACCCCCAATGGCTCTCCCAGCCTCAGGAGAAGGCACCTAAGGAGTAGGCGTCGTTTCTTTTGTGGCAGGCACGTGAGGTGTGTGTGTGTGTGCGACGTATAGTTTGTTTGTTTCTTTTTTTTTGCTTTAGAGGCAAATGGGAATGCAGGTGGGACCGAAAGAGGCCAAATAATTACAAGGGATGTTTTTTTTTGCGTTTCCCCGTTTTTTTAAAAGGCTGCTGCGTGCTATTTCTCTTTAACAGTACCTCGCTGGACTTTGCAGCGTAGGTCCTTTTTCTTGTAACTCTCCCACCCTGGCTCCCTACGACTACTGCCACTAATGTTCCCCAATAAAACGGGGCCTGGTGGTTGCCTCTCCCCAACCTTCCCCCGCAGAACGCCTCGTCATGGGCTCAGAACGGGCCGGGTTATCATGACATGTGTGGCTTTGCATAATTTTGTTTCTCTGCGGGGTTACGAGCGTTGGAGAACTCTCGTGTACTTGGAATCTTGGGAGCATTGAGCCAAACTATTATCTTTTTCTGCGGTAACTGCCCTCTACAGGGCAAGAGGGCAAGGCGTCAAGCGTGAGCATGTGTGTTTTTTTTTTGCTTGCTGTTTGTTTCAACTTACTTCCCATGTTTTATCTCCGCTTGGGCTGCGGTGTTATCTCGACTCTCACTAGTTTCCCGCTTCCTCCCTTCCGCCATGCATCGCCGCCGTGTGTTCGCTTGTGTGTATTCGCACATTTTTTACTTTTGTCCTTTTGCTGCCTGGCCTTAGGCACAAAAAACTACACGACACAAAATTATCTCTCGCCAAGTATCTGGATGGTCCTTTCGTAGTCGGTGCTGACAGTTGCATCTGGTGGCTGCTGCTGCTGCGTCATTCCGTGGCTGTGAGGAGAAGAGGCGCATCGAGAGGGGGAGAGTGCACTGTGGCTCTCCATTCCCTCCTTGCGGCAATTCTACTTGCTTCTGTGCGTCTTTTTTCTTCTTTTTATTTGCCTTGACTTTCCCTGCACTGCGAATAGGGCTAAGGCGAAAATAAGAGCACAACCAGCAACAACAGCAACCAAGCACGCCACCACTGAGGTGCGCCTCCGTGGACGACTTCATCACCGCCAGCGTGAAGCGGCGCGATGCGCACCAGCCCGAGTTCCTGCAGGCGGTCCGCGAGGTCATGACGTCGCTCTGGCCCTTCCTGAAGCGGCATCCGGAGTACTGCGAGGACGCGCTGCTGGAGCGCCTGGTGGAGCCCGAGCGTGTCGTCCAGTTCCGCGTCTCGTGGGTGGACGACAAGGGCGAGGTGCGGGTGAACCGGGCGTGACGCGTGCAGTTCAACCCCTGCATCGGCCCCTACAAGGGCGGCATGCGGTTCCACCTCTCCGTGAACCTGTCGATGCTCAAGTTCCTGGGCTTCGAGCAGAGCTTCAAAAACGCCCTGACGACGCTCCCCATGGGCGGCGGCAAGGGCGGCTCGGGCTTCGACCCCAAGGGGAAGAGCGAGCGTGAGGTGATGCGGTTTTGCCAGGCCCTGGCGACGGAGCTGTTCCGCCGCATTGGCGCCGACACGGACGTTCCCTCCGGCGACATCGGCGTCGGCGGCCGCGAGGTGGGCTACATGGCGGGCATGACGCAGAAGCTGACGAACTGCAAGGCCTGCACCTTCACGGGGAAGGGCGTTGCGTTCCAAGGGAGCCTGATGCGTCCCGAGGCCACGGGCTACGGCGTTGTCTACTTCCTGGAGGCCGTCCTGAAGCGGCACCAGCAGGAGCTGCAGGGGAAGACGGTGCTCGTGTCGGAGGCCGGCAATGTGGCGCAGTACGCCATCGCGAAGTGCCTCCAGCTGGGGGCGAAGGTGATCAGCGTCTCGGACTCGCGCGGTTGCGCGCACGACGCGGCGGGCTTCACCCCGGAGAAGCTGAGGACCCTGATGGACATCAAGGGCGCGAGGCACGGCACCGTGGAGGAGTACGCGAAACAGGTGGGCGCAGAGTACCACGCGGGGAAGCGACCGTGGCACCTGAAGGCGGATATTGCGCTGCCGTGCGCGACGCAGAACGAGCTGGAGCTTGAGGACGCAAAGAACCTGATCCGGAACGGCGTCCTCGCCGTGGTGGAGGGCGCAAACATGCCGACGACGATGGAGGCGACGGCGGAGCTCATCAACGCCGGTGTCCTGTTCGCCGGCGGGGTCGCCGTCTCTGGCTTGGAGATGACGCAGGACGCCATGCGCCTGGGCTGGACGGCGGAGGAGGTGGACAAAAAACT